ATTTCGGCCAATTTCTACTGTTTTTCCAGCGATCCGCGGTGCCTGGTAGAGGCTACCTTTCACCCAACATACATGGCGCCATCCATGTAGCTTCTACCAGGCGTCGCCAGGGGGAGTTGTTACCTAGCTAGTACCTCTTCCTACTAGTATTTGGCCAATTTCTTTACTTTTTCTACTCTTTTCAGTCGAAACCTAGTAGAGATTACCTTCCTAATCTCCAGGCAGATCCATTCCTAGGGTGGTAAAATACAGTATCAAATTGTCCAGGCAGTAAGTATCCAGTCGACTGAGATAGAGAGAGTCCAATACGCCACCCAACTTACTGCCTGGCCAATTTGATACCCCCGTGTCTTTTGCCACCCTAGGATCTGCTTTAAGACTATACCTTCCATGACCATCCATTCATTCAGCCGCTCCCGAAGCCTGGTAGAGACTACTCATTCATAGCCTCCCCCAGGCCTTTCTACGGGAATACGGATCGGCAAAAAAGAGAGTAAAATTGGCCAAGAGAGTCTGGCCGCGGGGAGGTAGTTTCTTTCCCTCTGCGCGGCCAGTCAAACCTACAAGGCGGCCAAACTCCCCTGGCAATTATTCTCCTATATAGCCAGCGTAGTTAGCCTGGTAGAGACTTAAACCATTCATTCATTCATGCATCCCGCGGCAGACTGCCAGTGACCCCAGGCACGTTTCGTCACGATCACATGACCCTATGATCCACACGCCCCTACCCGGAACCGCTACCAGCCAGTACTACTGAGAACACGTCACATCACTCTCTAACCTCACCAGACGGGGCGGACAGTTCTCGCCATGCTGAAACCTCCAGCGTTCTCTATACAACCTCAGGACTACTAAAGCTCACGGCTCAAGCTGTAGAAAACATGGCTACGGGCGGTCGCCGTTTTCTAGCTGTTGCAGCGCTGACTTTGTGGGTTCTACTGGCGACGTCTGTGTCCGAAACCGGAACGCAGTCCTCACCCGCCCTGCCCGCTAACTTCTCCGTGGCGTACAACGGTACTGTGGGGTCGGGAGAGGCCGTCACCTACACTTTCACCTACCAGGAGCCGCCGAACACGGTAACCCGCTTATCTAACGGGTTCTTGTTGTAAGGGGGAAGATCTGTGAACGCTGGCGAGGTGGTTATGTACATGTACCTGTGTGTGGTGAGCATACCGTATAGCAAACCATGCATGCATGTTGGTGCGTAAAGCCGGATCCCTTTCATATCCACATGGGAAATATTATGTCTTCCTGGTCGCTGCTATTCACCAAAAGGTCACCTGATGTTGTGGCAGGCTCGTTTCAGGCGAGATTAGTTGATTGGTAAAGATCAGAGAAGGTGAAAATATGATTTTCAGATGTAATTTGGAAGCGTGATGTGCGTTTGCAATGTTTTTACTTTCGTAACTCCTTTCACAACTTGCGATGTAGCAGAACAATGCCTCATAATAACACCATTCATTGTACAACTTCCCTTTTTTCAGAGATGATTATGTTCCGCTCAGTAATATGCATAATTGAACATAAGTTGCAGCCCTTAAGCTTTATGAATTGTCCTTTGACCGGAGCAAGACGAGCGCGCGTGTTGTTTGTAAAGCGGTGCAAACAAAGTACCGAAGCTCCGTGCGGAGCCGAGGCGCAACAGGTGGAAGTTAGCGCGCCTCTCAGCCCGATTCTAGTTTCACCGGATAGACGGAGGACCGGGAAACATTTAAATCTAATGATAGACTGTTTTAGGAGTGCACATTGGGAATTTGTGATGCCAGTAATCGGCCTTCTCTCTCGATTTGCTACCGTATCGGGAATTAGGTCATATTACGGTCATGTTACGGTTTTAGCAATGTTGTGTACTTTACTTACGAATTGAGACAGCCCAAAACGTGTCTACTAAACACATGGTGAACAGGCATGCATAGATAATCATACTTTCTATATTCTTAAAACATTGCTTCTGCTTCACAATTTTATGTTAAATTTGTTGATATAATACTAGCGGTCCCGTTATCCTCAGCTACGGTTTCAAAATGGCGCCCGAGGCGTTTAATTTGTAAGCCTAGACACGTGAATACGCACAGCTGCCCTTGTGCATAGAGTCAATATAATGGACTACTTAAAGAAATAAACAATAGGATATGGCTTACACTGTATCATTTTTCTGATGTCTACATGCGTCTGGAATCTGGATACAAGACAATCTTTGGCTTGTAGTTTTCCCACTTCTAATATCATTTGTTTGAATAGGGGTGTGTTTAAGTTTTGTCTTCTTTGTCTTTGTCTTTTTACGTTCTTATCTTGCCTTCACGCCACCTGTTGTTCATGTGTTGAAGAAAACGTTTTCCTTCTTTTGAATTAACGAAAAAGTCGTAACCCCCGCATGTGTAAAATGGAGTAGCCCTGTTCATAAACTAAATCGCCACGAAGCTTCTACCGGAAAAACCTAACGTATAGTGGAGCGGGGAAGGTGTACGCCTGGTTAACCTGAAACAGAAAACCGCAAAGCTATAAGATATTACATGTAGTTATACTAGTATATCCGCCAATTTGTTTCCTGGTCGGTTGTACTCAAGTCTAAAAAAACGTTTCTTTTTACCGTGGGAAGAACAGACTTTCGCCTGCATACGTTATTCTTCAGAATGTTTGTTACTACCCGCGAATTGATTAATTGATCGGTCACCAAGTTCGTAATGATATAACGTGAACTTTATTATGATATTGGGTTGAAAGAACAGACTTTCGCCTGCATGCATTGTTCCTCGGCAGGTTATGATATTAACAGGCGATTGGTTAATTGATCAGTCGCAAAGTCTGAATTGATATCATTATAAGCATCCAAAAGCTACACATTGTAGTAAGGGCGGGACATTATGTCTTCTGTAGTTTACAAAGAGAGGCCAAACTCCGTAGATATAGTTTTCGACAATTTACCTTATAGGGTGTAGATTAGCCGCTTTTATTTATTATTTTTTTTTGTACGCTGTTCTTTATTATTTATTATATTATTTATTACCTGCAAGAAGCCTTCGGACATGAATTTTAAGCTAAAGTTATATTTGTAATCCCCTTTGCCCCCTCCCCCCCGAAACGACCGAGTCCCACCCTCTCCTGGACCCCCGATTTCATGTTTCTCTGGACGTTTCTATATCATTAAATTGTATAGATTATAATAATTACATTACGATATTCCCCTTTGCCCCCCCCCCCCCCAGACGGAGGCTGTCCGGCTGCACGTGACCAGTCCAGATGCGATCGACTCGCACCCACTGCTGGTGGTGGTTCGGCAGGAGGACGGCATTCTCTCATTCCAGGTCCCTCTTAGGGTCGAGGACTAGTAAGGACACGCCTTTTCATATTTATCTGGACTTAAACAAAGCTCATTATAATGTATATATTATAGAAGTACCTTTGCTTTGTACCCCCATCCTGTCCTTCCAGGTCCCGCTTAGGGTGGAGGACTAGTAAGAACACAATATTTCATTTTTCTCTGGACTTTCTATGTTTACTGAAGGAAGCATATTGTTTTTGCTCTGTTTCCTCTTCTTCTCTATACAAATAAGGCCAATGGCCCGAACCAGACGTCTGTCACCACGGTAACTAGTGTTGGGTTACATAATGTTGCAATTTTGAGCAGGAGGGATATATATATGATCATATATAAGAGAGCAGACCATATGCAAACTTTAGGTAAACGTTATGCATCTGCAAATGTTACCTTTCTAGTTTTTTATTTATTTATCACCTCACTTATTCATGTTTTCGGTTACATCAAGGAACTATAGACACAGTCAGATGTTTGTTCACCCTAGACATGAAAATCCTCCTTCCCCACAGCTATCTGTTTAACGAGATTGAGCGAACGCTGTGCCCGGCAGAGGAGGAGGCTGAGAGAAGTGCTGACGTCACCAAAACCGTGTACGTACAGCTGACGTCATCAGCGGCAGCGAACGTGACGTACTCCCTCACGGTCACCAAGGTCGTGGATTTCGACTTCGGGTAAGTCTGGACGTGTTGCATGTCTGTTGACTAGCTGGGTAGCAAACGGTCAACGGTTTTTATTGAAAGTACATGTAGATTGATATTCTTGGAACATTCTATTTTACTTGCTCTCGTTTAATTCTTTTCTATTCAGTCCATTTTGTTCTATCTATTCTATTCTATTCTATTCTATTCTATTCTATTCTATTCTATTCTATTCTATTCTATTCTATACGTATGGACGTGCTGCATGCCAACGGTGTGTATTGAAAGTACATTGATATTCTAGGAACATTCTATTCTATTCTATTCATTTTATTCCATTCTGTTCTATTCTATTCCATTCTATTCTATTCTAGTCTATTCTGTATCGAGTTTATTCTATTTACTGTATGCTATTGTATTGTATTTTATCTACTCCAGGTTTAGAAATCCCGATTTGTTAGATGTATAACATTACAAACTCCTTGTTTATCAGGTACAATGACACTAAGGACATCTCCGTGTCGCCCGCCGAGCCGCAGTACTTCAGCTTCACCTTCCCGGGTCACGTGGACACCGTGGTCGTCAGGGCAACGGCGCAGGACGACAAGTGCTCCGTACTCTCCCTGCAGAGGGCAAAGGTCAGAGAGAAGTTTTTATATTCACCTTCGCAGAACAGAAGGAAACATAATACTGTTTTTTGCTGTTTCTTCCTCTTCTTCTTCTCCAAACAAATATGACAGAACAGAATAGGACAGAAAACCGCCACATCAGATATGCGTCGAAATGAATGGCAACGTCATATCTTGATCTCCTTTTAATGTATTTGACAAGAAATGTTCAAGTTTAACTATAGCCACATCTTTATATGCCTGTACAACAAGTCTTCTAGGTAAGACTCTGGTCTTTACTTTAGTTCCCTTTGTGAGGCTTTTTGTAATGTTTTTGTGTGTTTGTATATGTATTGTAATTTTAATTTTCACTTGCCAGACAATCAACTGTAAAAAATCAGTGTTACTCAGCATGTTTTGTACAGGCTGCGAGGCTGTTTTTTAATGAATAAACTGTTAAACTGTATCTTGTCCCTTCCCCTCCCCGCAGTGCCCGGTGTATGACCTGGACAGTAACATCGAGTTTTCGGGGATTTTCCAAACCTTCACCAGTTCAGCCGCTATCACTGTGCAGGTACGAGCTTTGGGAACTCACGTACTTCATGTGTATGTGTGTTGCAAAATTGTAGACCTACATTTGTACTTATATGAATAGTTTTATCATGTTGGCAATAGATTGTCCAACAATGCTCTCTATTCAACGACCTAGCCTTGGGAACTGACGAACTCATGTGTGGTACAAAATTATAGACCTACTTACATGAATAATCATATCATGTTGGCAACAAGTAGGTTCTGCAACAAGGTTCTCTATTCAACGACCTAACTTTGGGTGCATGGTACAAAATTGTACACGTACTTCCGCTTATGATTTTATCGTGTTGGCAATAGATTCTGCAAAAAGGCTCTCTATTCAACGACCTACCCGTAGCTGCAGTACGAATCAGAACCAGACATTGTTGCCCTAAAGAAGGCGACAGACGGTCACCGAAACGTTGGATGTGAAAACCCAATGGTTGTTGGATAAAGAACCTTCCTGCACTTGTAGATTTCTTTTTTTTGCTCTTCTATTGTATCTCTACTCTGTCCTAGCTTCTCATGATGTTTTTGTTGGTTTGTTTGTTTTGCTGAATACAGAAGGAACATTTTCCAGACGGAAAGTTTTACCTGGTAGTTGGGGTGAAGCCGATCGAGTTTGAGTGTACCGGGAAGGCGTACACAATACAGCCGATTACAGGTACTGTGTGTGTGTTTGTGTGTAATGTTAGGTTGTTTGGAAATCAGTAAAGTTTCAATTTGAATACAATTTATGAATGAATGAATTTATATATTTTTTTCTACAGGAGAAATAGACAGGCAGCCGACTATGAAGGAAGTCACCATACACGTGGAGGAAACCCTCACAGGTGGTAGATTTGATAAAAGAAATATTTCTTTGTAACTTGTAAACAATATTTTTCTGGCAATATTTCTTTTTATGTATTTTGTATATAGAAGAGTAGAATTCAGAACTAATAAATTGTTATGGCTATTCCATGTTCCAGAGGCTGACTTTGTGACCGCCGTCCTAGCTGCCCTGGCCATTTTCGGGCTGTTTTATCTGGTTTCAGGACTGGTCATTCTGGGCACGTGGTTCAGGTTAGAACTTCTGGTTAACTTTTCTAATTTCCTGCTCCTTTTACGGATGAATACCTGATTGATCTTGAGGTATTTAGCTTTGTCTATTTTGGGATTTACATCTGATTCGTTATGAACCCATGCAGGGAGAGCAGAAACGGGAAACTGGACCGGGAGATGGACTCGATCGAAGACAGTAAGTCAGGCAAAGATCTGGTTCGGATGTTATCATTTCTTACAAATCTGTAAATTAGAGATAACAACCCAAACTCCAGTAAAATATTTGCCAATTCAGTTAAGTATATTTTCTTGTGTTTCTAATAGCATCAATGAGACTGACTTCTTTCTTTGAAATTCCAGGTTTCCCACCAGAAAATAAGTCTCTTACCGAGACCGGAAAGTCGTCGTACGGGGCAACAGGGGAGGAGGAGGCGCATTCTGACGGGAGTAAGCAAATGATTTAGTACATGATGGTCATACTATTGTACAGTCCTGATAAAAATTTACACTGCACTAGAAATGTTACTCATATGTCTGCTGATTTTGATGATGATGATGCTTTAATTACTAAGTAAACGTTGCTGTTGTGATGTCCAGGAGCAGAGGAGACCGCTCCTGCAGACGGCAGCCCGCCGCGGAAAGAGTCTGTGGACATCAGCAGTTACGACACGCTCGACGACATCGACACGGAGAAGGAGGTTTACAGGACAAAGGTAGATACTTATTATCTACAGATTAGACAAATTTATTCAATCAAACAAAATCGTACAAAAGCAGGAAATGCTGTCGCACCCCTGAATTGAGTACATGATTTTTACAATTAGATACTTCGATTTTGTGACCAAAACTTGTCCTCCTCAAACATTGTTGTTCATTCTAACACCCGTTCTAAGACGATCTATTCTTTGCAATGTTGACAGTGATTGTAGTACTTTTTTTTTGGTGAAAGTAACTTTGGGATGGCCCATTACTGCTTAAGGTTGATAAAGAGGTATTTTTTTAGCCAAATGATATCGTTTGGCACTCGTTTTACCTGAGATCCATTTCGTGCCTCCCCCCCTTCCAGCGAGTTCTGTACGTGGCGGACCTGGCGCGGAAGGAGGATAAGCGACTCAGTAAGAAGTTCAGACTGTACAACAGGTAAGTAAAGTGCCTCTTTCTGCAGCTTGTTTAGGTGTTTAGTTCTGGTATTTATGATTATCTTCACAGAATTGTATTTGCTTCGTTTCCCTTTCCTTTTTTTGTCTTCTGACAACAGCTGAGTCAAACGTTTTGACGATACAGTTCTGCTATTACATAGTTATTAGTTTCAATGTAAAATAAGTTCTAAATAACGTGTTAGTATCTTTTTATGCTAAAGTTGTATGTTCCATACGCAATGATAATCCTTGTGTGCCAAATGAATTATAAATGGCAAATCAATTCAGGACCCTTGTAAGGGAGCTCTGTGAGTCTGTATCGTTGGAGGTGACGAATAAAAACCATTATTATTATTCTCTGTAACATTTATAAAATTTGCGTCACCCGCAGGAACCTCATCACAATCGCGGTGTTCTACGCTCTTCCCGTGACGCAACTGGTCTTCACGTACCAAATCGTAAGTAAAGTATAATATGCAGGTCTTTAACATGTGATATTTCATCTCCCTTCTACCCAATACCGATGTACGTACGTAATGTGTATTTACTGTCCCTCTAGTGAGTACATTTTGCAAAGTTTACGGTACTAGCCACTCTACGAACGCTAAGATAATACGTATAGTACACATGTAGGTAAAGGCAGTTTTGGTGCCAACCATGTGTCTGAAATTCAAGGTTCGTAGTGAATAAAGTTGAAAGTCTATGTAGAAAGTTTGTGTAGTGCGATTGAGAAGTCTCAGTACCCTTTTCACGTTGTTCCGTGCCCAGATGATGAACCGGACAGGAGACCAGGATCTGTGCTACTACAACTTCCTCTGCATCCATCCGTATGGAGTTCTCTCGTAAGCAACTTTTCATATAATATACCTTCCCGTGGAATTCATAGTCATTTCTGCTATAAGCTAGAATCAACTATGCCCAAACACTTGATATCGTCATGCGGATGATGAAAAGTAGTGGGTACTACTTGAAGCGTTTGGCAGTTTAAAAAATATTTCCAGTTACCTGAGTAACAATTTCTTGCGTATCTCATGACCTGGATGCCTTACCTAGATATTTACGAGTGGTTGTTATTATTATTTACTATGGTATAAGGATTTTTGGTTTCAGTAACCAACTTGTCATTTTACCCGCAGAGCTTTTAACAACGTTTGGAGCAACATTGGCTTTGTTATGCTTGGGTTTCTGCTCATGTTACTGGTCTACAGAAGGTACGGCTTAAAAAGTCACTTTATCGAATTGATAATTATGATGAAATTAAACTGTTCTCCAACTCATAAATTTCACTCATCGGAATTTTCGACTGAATCACTCAGTCTTCTTCAGCTATCTGACCCAAATGCTGTGGACACGTGATTTTTCCACGTGTGACGTCAGCAGAGGGTCAAAGGTTGTCTGAAGTCAATCGAGACGGCGGGCGATATCAACTTCAGACAACATTTGGCCCTCAGATGAACTGTAATGTTGTTATCGAAGTGATGCTTGGACCTGAGTCCTAGTATCGGTTTCTATCATCCCTATAGATAATGTAAGGCACGTTGTATGGCTTAGGCAAATACAACGATCCGCAGACTCTGAATTAGTTAATTGTTATGACTACTAGACAATACACGTTTGTTGACCGGTTTGATGTCCTTTCTGTGTACCGCAGAGACAGACTGCACAAGAAGCAAGTCGAGTCGGGAGGGATACATGCAAAGTTGGCCCTGGTTGGTAACTATGTACTACTAGTACTTTATTGAGAAACGTTAACGTTCTTCAATGTTCAGTTCGTATGTCATGTTTGAAGATTCCTTAACATCCCCTGAACTTGAGTCAAAGTAACCACGTCTCTATTTGTGTTCCCTACATCAGGAGTACGGACTTCCCAAGCATTTCGGCCTGTACTATGCCATAGGTATGTAGGGCTTTGCTTTCTTTGTATTCGTGGAAATAATTATGAATGTTGTCATTTAAACGTATGTTCTTTTTATGTATAGCTATTAGAAAAATGCGATACTATAATACGAATGTACTTACGTTACTTACATATTAGGTAGTGTTCACTTAATTTCTGGTACCGTTGTTGGTAAGAAATGTTAATGTTTTCCCATCTAATTGTTATATCTTTCCCCCCTCAGCGCTGGCCCTTGTGATGGAGGGCATCATGAGCGCCTGTTACCACGTCTGTCCCAACTACAGTAACTTCCAGTTCGGTACGTAAGGCACATACCTGTCGCCATATATCTTTATTCTTAACATTATTGAAAGCTATATATCTATTGACATGCCCCTACTGTACTTGGTGACAGTGAGTTCCACTCTGCAAGTATTCTAGGGAATTCGAAGAATGAATTTTTGAACACCTGAATCCTTGGTTGATAACTCTGGTACTTGAAGGCATGGCTATTTCTTGTTCTCTTCTGAGCTGGTATTCTTGGTAGTTGGTATGTTCACCAGTTTATTTGTCATTTCGTACTCTGTGTTGCAGACACGTGGTTCAACTACATCATTGGTGGGCTCAAACAAACAAACAAACAAACAAACAAAGTTGGATTATGTACCGATTTGTGACAATGTGACTGTATTTCAGACACGTCGTTCATGTACATGTACAGATTTAACAAATTGTGCATGTGACTGTTCTGAGCTGAACCGCTACGCCACACGACCCCAGACTACTTGTGTTCTTGTGTTTCAGACACGTCGTTCATGTACATGTACAAATCTGACCATGTGACTGTATTTCAGACACGTCGTTCATGTACAGATTTGACCATGTGACTGTATTTCAGACACGTCGTTCATGTACATTATCGGCGGCCTGGGGATGCTGAAGCTGTACCAGAAGCGGCATCCTGACGTCAACCCGAACGCCTACGCAGCCTACATGTTCTTCGCGGGGGTCATTTTCATGGCCGTCATCGGCGTGGTGCGTCTGTTCGCTCATTCATTCATTCATTCATTCATTCATTCATTCATTCATTCATTCATTCATTCATTCATTCATTCATTCATTCATTCATTCATTCACATATTCGTTCGTTAGTTCAGCCATTCATTCATTCATTCATCCACATATTCGTTCGTTAGTTCAGCCATTCATTCGTTCATTCATTCATTCGTTCGTTCCTTCTTTCCTTCATTCTTTCCTTCATTCATTAATTCACTCACTACCTCATTCATTTTTTTATTCAAAATTCTCATTCAAGAATCCTTAAGAGTTGTGTGTAATATACTGAACATTAATCTATTGCATTTATCATTTGCATGTTATATTTGACAGGTTTACGGCACGAAGGCGTTCTGGGGAGTGTTCACGGTTGTGTACATCCTCGCTACACTGTTCCTGAACATGGAGCTGTACTATATGGGCAGGTGGTCCTTCGGTACGTGCGGAAACATAGTTCTGCTCGGTTTGTAGTGAGGGTTTGTGCAATGGCTAGGGAATTGCTCTTCATCTATCCATCTATCAAACGATATGTGTCCATACACATGTATATAACATGTGATTACATATATACATTTATATATGATTATATAATATACATTAATAATCTATTTCTTTCTCCATTTCAATATACATATCCCTATGTTTCTCTCTCTTATTTATTAATTCATTCATTCAAATTAATCATGTTGATTAAAAAGCCGTCTGTTCTGAAGGTATTAAAATACAGCCCTACTTAATATGGCCCATCCCGACCGTACTAACCGTGGTAACCGTTGTGTTCTCCAGATTTGAAGGTGTTCAAACGTGCCTACGTCATGCTGAGAACAGACTATCTACAGTGTACGGACTGCAGGCCCATGTACACGGTACGTCGCGCTGTACTAGACAAAAGTTGCGATCTAATAAGTCATTCATTCATTTATTTTTTTCAAATGACAACTCTTTCCTTTACAAGACATCTGACGTTTGGAGAACCCACGATTTTCCAAAGGCTGCCTCAGATTTGTCGTCGTGTGACGTGTGTGTATGTAACATGGCCATATTTAAGTCATTAAGAACACGGAAGACCGCATATGGAAAGTGGCAATATGACCTTTTACTCTCATTGAATTTCCAGAGCCGGTTTGTACTCCTGACCATAGGGAATCTGGTGAACTTGGCGCTGTAAGTACCGACATCTCCGACTTATTTGCTAATGTAACAACAAAACCAACGAGCATGACAATCTGATCTTAACTGTTTTTAATGGTTTCTAGAGATGTCTAACCTTCACCGACGAACCATTCTATCCATCTATGTATTTGTTAGAAGTCTCCACAAGGTGGAAGGGATGGCAAAACAGTTGTATGAACACCTTTACAAGTTGCACTCCCAAAACCATTTTATTCCCCTCCCCCTTGCAGGGCCCTGGCCGGTGCGATTTACCAGTTCTGATATGTGTTTATACCCCATGCAGAGCCCTGGCCGGTGCGGTTTACCAGTTCTGATATGTGTTTATCCCCCATGCAGAGCCCTGGCCGGTGCGGTTTACCAGTTCCAGGACTTCGCGTCCTTCCTGCTCGGCATCGTCATCTCCAACCTGCTCATCTACTTCGGCTTCTACATAGTCATGAAGGTACTGTTACAAGTATTGTTATGAGTATTGCTCAGAAAACATTATGATTGCAGGCAACTTTCTGAATTCCGTTGCGGGAGCAGGATATAAGACTTGGTTGTGTAAAACGAGTCTCTTTACTCAGTGCCTTACCAACCTGATTAAACTATTCACGGACTTTCATGATGATTTTGTATTTCCTTGTGTTCTGTCCTTAGATGATCAGCGGCGAGCGGATCAGCGCGGGTTCCTGCCTGCTGATCGCCCTGAGCGCCACCGTCTGGGCAGCCGCGCTCTACTTCTTCTTAGAAGCCAACACGTCATGGCAGGTGGGCCGTTACAGTCTTCATAATGTGGACGGGTTACCCATAAATCTTTGACCAATCATCATCATCATCACCAACATCATATCGACCAATCATAAACAGGAATTAGGGCTTAACGTTCATTGGATCTGACACTGAGCAAAAACCTGTTTACTCTCTGCATATCTCGCCATTAATTTGTGTTGGTGAAGTTGTTTTTGCAATGTTTTGAAACAGGGATTGCGTTAAAGGATGTTTTCTAAAGGATATTCACTGTATAGTTATAGACTGAACGTCTTCTATTTTTCTCCGCCAGAAAATGCCAGCCCAGTCCCGCGCGCAGAACAGACCGTGCGTGCTGCTCGGGTTTTACGACACGCACGACATCTGGCACTTCCTCTCCGCCGTCAGCCTCTTCTGTTCCTTTATTGTAAGTACTGCACATTTTTAAGCTTGAATCTTCACATGTCTGATAGACATCGAAACGTAAGCAGGTGGGAACCTTTACTGGTTGTGTAAGAAGAAAATTATATACCTTTGAATCATCACAATTTATCAGATTTGAAAGAAAAAGCCACATACCTGCAACTGGTTTAAGTGAGCAGCTTACGGATGCTACTTCAAGTTCCGTTCTATGTAAGCCTTGTGTGGTTGGGCATGGCAACATCTCTGGCATTGCAGCATCTTTGCGCGTGTAACCAGGACATTTCATGAGAAAGTCCCGTCGGAGCCTTTCTTAAAGCTGTGCTCGGGGCTTCACATATTGTGCTTTAATTTGTAAATTAATTAGTTAATTACTTGACCCATTTTGAGAATAGTGGATCCAATACGACAAAGTTGGGAATGTATATTGAATGTTGGTTCTATCTGCGGCAATAGGCGAGAAAGCACACCCGTGTTATTGACCATCAACGTAAGCGGTATGTAAAATACAAAGGTTCGAACTTTTTTTTAATTTTGTAGGATTTTGTTTTTTTTCTCTTCTCTTACAGGTGCTGCTTGTACTTGACGATGACCTTGACTATGTAAGACGGGACCAGATTGTTGTGTTCTAAGTCTGCAGTGCCATTCAATGTCATTGTCATTGTCGTTCAATGTAAACAGGAGGTCCTTGGACAATATTTGTACAAATGCCAAAGTCTATGAAGTTATAGTATCAACCTTTAATAATCGGATAGGGTTGCTTACAATTTGTATTAGGTATCAATGTATCATGAAGGTATAGGGTTTCTTATAATTAAAGAAACCTCATAATCAAGAACTCCTAAATTTTGTCTTTCATTTTTGTAAATTGCAGCGAAAGAATGCACGACCATGAATTCTTAAAAGCATCAGAACAAAGGAAACATAAAATAAAGGCTCAAAAGGAGAACAGTAAGACCTACAAAATTCCCAACGATAACCATATGATTTGTACGTTACTATTTGTTGTCCGTTTTGTTGTGGTTTCTTGATCACGTAAATACAACGTGCAATTTAAAAAATATATAAGATGCTTCTCATTACAAAAGATTAGAGTATTCTGTTTAAAGTGTGTATTTTAAAGTATGTGCCTCGTATGTGCTGCTATATCCTCTGTTTTCTTTGTATTTTGTTTTCATGTCCAAAGCACAATCATGAAAGTAAAATTGTAGTTCTAATAGGAGTAAAATCACGAATTCTGAGAGTCGCTACCTCGAGTTCTGCATCACAGATCTACCACGATTACGCCTTTGGGAAATAATAATGCAGCTAAGTACGGATACCGCACAAAAAAGGAGGGTCATTCTATAATTCTACATCTATAATTCTTCAGAACTATCACGATTCATATTGTGTGCCGTTTTAAGAATTCTAACACTTGTGTGTTTGTGTATCTTACAGAAATGGATTATAGTAAAAGATGTTAATGGATTTACGCTGAGATTATTGAAAACATCTGATTCATAGTATGTATAATAAGAACGAAGTTGTGTGTGTATAATAGAACGGAATTATGAATCTCCTATAGTATCGTGTATACAGATGGATAATTGAAATTATGTCTCGTTGATATTCATGTTATGAGTCGAACCTATTCAAGAAGACCACCTGTCCAACGCGACCACTTTTCTTCGGCCCTCCAGGTGGTCGCCTTAGGCAGGTTTGACTTTAACACGTACTAAGTATAATTCCATGGATGGGAAAATCAACATTACCCAACTGTCTCAAACACCCATGGCTACATATGCACCGTCCTAACTTTGACTATGCTAACTGGCCAGTTCCAGATAAAGTGCCATATGTGTTCCCAGGTATTTCTATCAGGGCGACTGGTAAGTCTTTACCCATAAAAGAAATAAAAGTTAATTAAACAGCACCAATACTAAGGGCCACGCACACACTACCAGTATGTGTTGATAATAATTATATCATTCCATCGAATACCAACAAACTTTCAAAACCAAACCTTTACATAAATAGCAGACGTAACACCACAAGAAGTCAACCTTCTCCCACTCCCTAACCTAAGTAAACCCCTGCTAAACAACTGTTTATGGCGACTTCACCACTAGCCCTGTCCTGGTTTATGGTAAGTCTTGTGATGTTGCTCTTATCCCCAAGAAAATCTTTTGGTGGCCGCAAAAGACAGTATCAAATTGGGCAGACAGTATCCATTAGCCAGGCAGTATCCATTAGCCAGGCAGTATCCATTAGCCAGAGCTCGAGGAATGTCCATTAGCCAATGGATACTGTCTGGCCAATGGATACTGTCTGGCCAATGGATACTGTCTGGCCAATGGATACTGTCTGGCCAATGGATACTGTCTGGCCAATGGATACTGTCTGGCCAATGGATACTATCTGGCTAATGGATATTGCCTGGTCAATTTGATGCTATCTCTTGCGGCCACCAAAACATCTGCTCTGAGATGACTGCTCCTCAGCTTCAGACGTAGCGGCCGGCTTTCCTGTTCCCGGCGATCACCCTCCGGTCTGCACTGGCCAGGAACAGCCTGGAGGGACGAGCCAATCTTATAAGTACAAAGGTGTGGTTCTTGTATTGCTGCTAGACCTCACTAAGTCTTGTCAACACAATTTATACTACTTATTAGATATACTTGAATTATGCTTAACCTTCTATATTGATTGCCTATTCTGTGTATTTTTATACTTGATGTCATCGACTATGTAAATTTTGATGTTGTATGATTGTGTGTTTTTGTATGGGGGAGGGCAACTTGTAAAGGTGCGTATGCACCTGTTTGCCCTCCCTTTTACTTTGTGAAAAAAATAAACAAATAAACAAAGGAATAATCAAACTGTTACGCACGACTAAAGTTATGTAAAGCGTAAGAAGCTTTCAGACGGCATCCATAATCTTTCTCAAGTCTTATAAGGACTCCAAAAGTTACATTTGATCACTGAATTTTTTCTATAGCATTTCTTAACATAAATAGCCAATATGAAAACGACATAAGCTGTCTTGCAGCATCGAATACAATTAAGAAGCTGATATTGTTTAGCCATTAGATATTGAAGATATTGAAGAAGCTGATATTGTTTAGCCATTAGATATTGAAGACCAGCAAACACCTTAGATTATAAGGCATACCACCAGGACTTCCAAAACCTGAGACCCCCCGGGGAAGACCACCCAAGAGGTGGAAACACCAGATCCAGAGTGACACAGGGATTACTCTAAGAGAAGCAGAGACTATTGCCCTTTATAGAGCTGGCTGGAAGTACCTGACGGAGGGGAGCAAGGGGCCAGTACCTGGCCTGGGCATATAGGCAGGCAGGTAGGTATTGTTCAGCAGCTGATAGACCACGTTTAAGACTATGTCGAAGGTCTTACACTAGATTCCTGCTCAGAGCATGTTATGGGGATTACTATGAGCCGTTACCTGACATTTCTCCTTTTCTCTACATGTATTTTACTGTTTTACATACCAAAACTATTATGAAAAACTTAAACTGTTCTCCAACTCAAAATTTGACTCACCAGAAATTTTCGACTGAATCACTCAGTCTTCCTCAGCTATCTGACCCAAATGCTGTGGACACGTGATTTTTCCCACGTGTGACGCCAGCAAAGGGTCAAAGGTTGTCTGAAGTCGATATCGCCCCCCGTCCCGGTTGAGCGACGGTTGAAGTGC